CAGATCATATGTCCATTCTGGACTTTATAAAGTACAGCTACCTATTGGACATTGCCTCCAACTGAGTATGTCTAAAGTTAAAAACATTTCTCTTTTTCAATCTCCACCTTCTCCCCAAATATAAAATGGCTAATCCTCCTGTTATGTTCTAGCTTGGTTAATGTCACCCAAACTAAACTTTGGGAGTTATCTAAATTCCCACAATTTCCTTCCCATTCTCTTCAGATTTGGTCATTAACTCCTCTGTCCTAATTATCTCTTTCATCTCTGTTACTCTTTTTGTGCAGTTATCTTCTTACAAGTCTAATACCTGGGTTTAGCCCTCCACATTTCCTAAGAAAGTGTTTCAGAAACTAAATCAGTTTATGTCCTTCCTTTATTAAGTTGCTTCAGTGGCTCTCCAAAACCAGAAGGATAAAGTCCAAACTCATCTGCAGTCCTTTCTGTCCTAAGTCCACCAACGTGTCCAGTCTCATCTGTTAACATTCTCTTCTCCCACCTTTTACTCTAACCATATTAAAATACTACCATGTCTTCAAATGTATCAGATTGCTTCATACTGCCATGTCTTTACATGAGCTGTTCCATACAGGAGTATTTTTCTCTCTCCCATTCCCACACCCAGGCTCAACCCAATCACATCCTTATTTCAAGGGTCTCCTCTATAGCTTTCCCTGAGTCATTAAGACTGAGTATATCATTCTTTCATCTATGCCTCTACATTGTGCTCATGATTGTTGTTGAATGTACTCTGCAAAGTTCTGCCTTTGAAAATAAGACAATGATAGCTAAAATAATATTTTGAGTTGTAGCTTAGTTATAATTCATATGGTGATATACCTACTCTAGATGACAGTCATTTCATGGCCCTCAAACTGGATTAAGAGGCTCTTCTCTGCCCTTGTATGCTACTGTTGACTGTACTGCGTTACAGTTATCTGTTTCTTGTACCTCTCTGCTCATTCACTTGAGAACTCTTTGAGGAAGTTCCCTTTCTGTGAATACTTTTCTTTCCAACATCTAGCACAGTGCTTTGTACATTGTAGGCAGTCAATATATATATTTGATGAATGAATATTGCTATTGAATAAATGATCAGAACCTCATAGGACAATCGTTTTACTTCTGCCTTTACTCTTTAAACCTCCTAGATGTCTGAACCTCTATGCTGTGAACATCATATTTAACCTGGAATTAGTGCCATAAAGTCTGGTTCATGCACTGAGCAAGGGATGAGGTTAAGTTATGAGCTAGAGTTGGGACATTATATCAAATTTGCATGCCTTCTCCCTGGCTTGCCAATGACAACTTACTTTCTAAACCCTCAATAAAGTACTGGACAGTCAGTCATCAAATAAGTTCAGCCATCTATATATAGTTTTTGAAAACAATTGAACTGAGTGTTCTTTGGGGATGTGATATAATAACAATGACTAGCATTTATTCAATGCTTACTTTGATCCAGGCTAAGTGTTAAGTGCTTTACATGCATCATCCCATTTAATTTTTATCCCGTAGGTGGGAGCTATTATTGCTCTCATTTTATTAGTGAAGTAACTGAAGCTTTGGCATTTAGGTAACTTACTCAAAATCTCACAACTATATGCGGTAGAACTGTGGTTCACATTATGACCTGCTTGTCTCCCTTTATGTGAAACACACACACACACACATTTATACACCAAAAAGTGCTACATTCCTTTTTGGATGGTCTTAGTTATGGCAGGACTCTAAACTACAACTTCTTGCCTTTTGCTTTCTTGTTGATCTGGAAAATGTAGGTTATTACAAATCAGGAGTAGATTGTAACAGAGTCAGGATTTATCCTAAATAGTTATGGATGGGGACCTGATTCTCAGTGGATAACACTTAATAGAGTGTTTGCTATGTATAAGCACTATACTAGGAAATTCACATTTATGATTACCTTCTCTTTGAGCATATTAACTATTCATGGATAGAAATCATGATTTTTTTTTTTACTCATGGTATGTTCCACATATCATCATGGACACATGTGGCAGACTCTTTGGAGCCTAACTCTTTTCTCCTAGATTAGAAGATGGGCGAGTTAGTTTTACACACTCCCTTGACTATAGGAAGGGCTGATAGTCAATAAAAGATTTTTAAAAATTCTTTAGCAGGTCATAGGCTAATATTAGATCAGCTTAGGACTGGCCACTAGTTTTGGATCAGTTTAGAGGTTGAAGACCTTCCCATCCACAGACCTTGTGAATATATGACAGGAATTCTTATTAAGGGACACATTGCTCTCTCCAGCTAGTTTCATAAGAACTTTAAGGAAGCTGAAGATTTCAATGAAGACTTACAATGCCTGTGTTGGATAACTGTACCATTCCGAGGAGTTTTAAAATCCCATAAAAATGTGTGTTTAAATGTCTCTGAGTCTCGTTTTTAATAATTTTTCAGTCAAACATTAACCCCATTCATCTTTCATATTACTTAAATTTTATATCTGGTGTATGTTGTTTATTTCTAAACATTTGTTTAAAAAGAGTTTGTATCTATTGAAGAATAGCACCCTAAATTATTTAAGTTCATAAAAACCCTAAGAAGGGCAAGCATGTTACATGTAGAGGTATATCTTTCCAAAATATGTTGTAAATGATAAAATTTATCTCCATCGATGGTTTTATGTTTGTCATAGTGGGAGACAGTGAAACATAGAAGTTAACAGCTGAGGCCCTGAACCCAGACTGTCAGGATTCAGATATTTGCTTTGTCACTTATGAACCATTTGACATTGGTCAAGCTTTTAACTCTCTTCATCTTATTTTCCTCATCTGTAAGAAGGGAATTACAGAATTTACCTTTTTGGATTGTGTGAGTATTAAAGGAACAAATCCATATGAAGAAATTAGAATAGGATCTATTCTATAGTAAAAGCTCACAATAAGTGTTGTCATCACTGTGATATTGCCTTGTATAGCTAGAGATTATAATACACATTCTACAGCTAAAACTCAGTTCATTCATTCATTTATTCATGATACATTCCATCACTTATTCAATGTTTAACTAATTCACTTATTCACTAAGGATTTGCTAATTGTCTATTAAATAGCAGACACTGTGCATAGCGATATGGGAGATAAAATGATTATTCAGATATTGATACTGTCTTCTCAACAAATATAATTTTGTGGAGAGATAAAAACTATACAAAAGTAATCACTGTAATAAATAGAAATGCTTAGTGCAATAAGAGTTTCCGGTGATGTCATACAAGAGTTTTGAATATACAGATATTTCTTCAAACTTCAGGGCTGTGTTCAAAATTACAGACAAGATTTGCATGTCTTTCTTAACGAATTAATCAAATTGCACTAGTAATTGTTAGCACTTCTACCTACAGAAAGCCAGTGGCAAAGGAAGACGATTAGAGTCCATTCTGAAGATACCACATTTAGGAGCCTTTTCAGCAGTGCATTATATCCAGAGGACTGCACTAAGTTTGCCAGGGTAAAGCAAACAGATCAGTGATAATTGTTCCTAATTCATCACAGTCATTAATGCTTCAGTTTTGAAAATCAGAGTGTGACTTAGAAATTTAAATAGCAAAAGTTAATGTGTTATTAAGCCTTAAATCTGTCTTTATTTTGTTTAATTCACTTACTCCTTCAGGTTCTTGAATATTTAAAACATTTAAAATATTAATAACATACCAAAAGAAGTATCAATATTTACATTAAATTGGAATTCATACTGCTCTATAATATTTTCAATGATATTATTAATAATTACAAAAAATAAATAATCCTCATGGAAGAAACTTAAGCAAGTATATTATACTTTGGCTATTGCACAGCAAGCAATGCTTTTCTTTCAGAGTGGGGGATACTAAGAAATATTTCGTAATATTAAGCTGGAATAATAAATGATGTGATGTTTTAAAAGTACATACAGCACAAATCATTTTCAAATGATTATTTTCTATTAATAACCAACTGATATATTTTATTTAACAACAGAGTTTCTTAACTCATGGCAATTCAAAGTTCATAAATCAGGAAACTTCTTATTATAGTATGTTATTAAACAGGGATATTACATATCCCGTTCCCCATTTCTGCAAAATAGAAATGATCATGTCTGGGATGAACTCACAGTATTTGCATTTTTCAGAGACAGCTTACTAACACAGGATGATAACATAAATATACATATGTCAGGTTACTATAAAAATATAAATTATCAAAGATCAGTATGGTTAAGATAACTTTGTGGAACTGAAAAGACAGTGTATTCTCTATAGTTTTCTGTGAACATTTTGAGAAACACTCCACTTCAAAATCAGGAATATTTTATGGTTATAACAATTTGTTGGTTACTCAGCTTCTGAAAAGCACTAAAACTAATTGTAGGAGAAAACATTAACATATATTTCTTTCCCTTCCACTAATCCTTGTGTTTGCTCTTCTTTTTTCATTTCTAGTCCTTCAGAACAAAGACACATTAGAAATAAAGTACCTATTTTAGTAAAACCTTAAGTTATATTTCAAAATACACTTTTGAGTAAAAACATTATCTATATGGATAAAATATTTTGTCCATGATCATTTACTTACTATTTTATTTTGTTTATGACATGTGAAATTCTCACTATCTCAAGATAAACATCTAGAGAAAGCCAACCAAGAGTAAATTCAATCTAAATTAATCTATGCTGAAATATAACACATTTTTAAAAACAAAACATAACAAAAACTAAATTCCACCAAACCAACTGTCTTCAGTCAGAAGACATTTTTAGTGGATCCTATTATTTATGTAATTTTTCCCTTTTCTCAGATTTAAGATATTTTTCTACGCACATATGGAATTCTATAGGGATTATAAAATTCTCCAACACCCTGATTATTTTGGGGCCAAATTTCCTCTGTAAGGATATTGTGTAAGGAATATGTCACATCAGGCTGAGCTCTATAGATAGGAGCCAAAAGGCCCTGGGAGCATTTTGGCAACCCTGTGTTACTTACGGTTGAGAGGCAGGCTTGCATTGGTTGTGCCTAGCTTGTTGACAGCCACACAAGTATAGTTGCCGAAGTGCTCCTGTGTCACATTGGTAACAGTGAGAATGGATCTTGTGCTAAAATTCTGAATAATAATTCCTTGTTGGCCACTGAAGAGCCTAAAGGACAAAAATAAACTCTAGGTAAATACGTGTTGTGAATACCATTTTTATCTTAGATGGGGTTGTCATGGCAACACATAGACAGTTTTGACCATGCTGCTGTTAGCATATAACATGATAATAGTGCAATTATATTTCCTTACAGTAGTAGATATTAGGGAAGAGAGGTTGTATGACAGCGGTAGACTGTTCCCATGGGATTATTTGTGCTATATAACAAACCAAGCTTAGATAGCCACATGTCCTATTCATACATTGACTTGTATTTTAGAAAATTAAACACACTACAGCAATGGTATCTCAACTGTTAAAGTCAAGAAAAAGTAAAGGGAATTAAATATAACGATTCCATTAAAAACACAAACTCATGATTTCTAAAAAGTTGGCTAGAATATGTCTAGGCCATTTCAGATGACATTATTAGGTAACTTTCATGAAAGTTAATCCTACAACTGTGGTGGGATGGTTCTGAGTCCAGGGTCAACACTTACTGCTACTTTGTAGATATAACCCAGACAGATGACTTGCTGTTAAACCTAGAAAAAGCCCGCAGTATAATACTGAGGATCGTATTTAAAGTTGAGTCTTATCTTTGCCACACTTTACTAATGTGCTTTGGAAAGTCCTTTAACCTTTCTGTGCCTCCATATAGGATCCAGTTTTACCTGATTCCACCCTGACTACTCAACATTCTCGCTCCAGACTTACCAGCAGAGGCCCCTACTCTCAGATAGGCTGGCATAGCTCTGTCAATGCTTGACATTCTCGTTTTTGCTTCACACTTTTCCTGAATCTTCCCCCAATGGCCACCATTCCCTTTTATCTCTGGGAACCAGATCCTTCCCTCCTCATTTAAGTCTGACCTATGTCCTATCTCTCCTACTCTACTGCTCCTTAAATGACTCTCCTCTCTCTCTGTCTCTGCCTCTTGCTCTACATGTTGCTCTCCAAATTGTTGTAGAATTTATAAAACCAAAACCATATTCTTGCGTTGTTCTCTCTAGCAGCTTCCATACCTACGAGTCTACCCAAATAAACTGAATTGTTTTAAATTTCTCAAAAGGCAAGGCCATATGGACACACTTCATTTTATATTTGAGTTCTACGTAGCACTTTAATAGTAGTATCTTGGGTATATAATACATAGTTCATAGGTCAATGGAGTTCGGGTGACATCCCCACAACACAGGGATTGTTAAGTCCCCTTCAGTGGCCCTGTCAAAAAATTCTCTCTCTAAATATGAATTCTGCTATAATGAGATGCCAACCAAATAATAACTTCTCCCTAACTAACCCCAAAGTTTATTGTGAAAGAAATGTGCTGATCACAATATGGGATATGTAAGCTCATAGCTCAAATGGCAGTTAGCTTTTCTTCTTTAATGTGTTCAAGTCTTAGTACTAAATATTTCTTTAATCATGAAGATGCTAATAAATGGCGTTCCCCTGAGAGTTTAGGTTGAACTCCTTGGCATTATGTTATGTGACTTGCATCTGAATTTAGATAAAATATACTGTAGTTAAATGCAGATTAAAATAAGCAACCATGCTTGATCATCTGGGAATTATTTGTATTTCATGTAATAGCTGAATTTGGCTTATCCAAAACTCAAACTTTAATCAGATTAATAAAACTTTGAGTTGAATAAATATTAAAAAACTTTAACTTGAGCAATAAACCTAATGACCTCCAACCCTGACACAAGAAAATAGGTTATCAAATATCTAGGATATGACAGCATTTAGTCATCTGTCTCATATTGCAAATCTATCAATATTTATGCTAAAATCCCACAATGGTTATTGCCTATTTTTCTGCATCACATCAATACATTTATTTTTAACCAATTAGTATATGTTATGTATAAAAATTCACAGTTTCATTGTCCTGCAAGCTTCAGCATTATGGCTTGAATCAATTTGCCCATGTCTCTGCTATGGCTATATTCTCCAGAGGACTCAGCAACTCCCAAGACTATTAAATCCCTTTTGTGCCCCATCTCCCAAAACCAAGATTGAGAAAAGATTAGTTAGGGTCTTCATTTGGCTAGGCTCTGGGGAGGAAATATCAAGGGAATATAATCAGTTACTTCACGGCACTGTTTGCTTATGTTCCTTATGGCTGTCGTTCTGAGTTGGGTTCCAATTCTCTGCCCTTTAACGTGTCTGAAGGCAAGCCCCAGATGGTGCTAAATCATGCACTGTATTCATGCTCTGTGCATGCAGGCCCATTCCTGGCCCGTGTCCAGCAGTGTTATGTGAATTCTTACCAAAGTGGCACATCAGTCACACTTTAGCAGCAACAACTCCTGCTGCTGCGATCAGCCTGGCAGGTGATTATGGTCAATAAAAAAAGGAAAGCATCTTCTCTAAGGGAATGTTCTTCCTCTAGAGGACGTTATCTCTCTGAGATGACTGGAAGAGTCCAAATCTTCCTTTCTTCCATAGTTGGGAGTTTTAGAAGTACTGACTCATCAAGCACCATTTAAGAACCTGTCTTCACCTGGTAGATGACTGGGGCAGCCTTTCCAAAGCTGACATTGAGGGAGAGAGACTTCTGAGATGATGTATATCTCCGGAGGGTGTATTTCTGTGATTTTCCTACAGGGATCCTGGGGGTAGTGGTAGATGGAAGGTTTCTCAGCTATTTAAACCAATTCTGAAAATAGTCATTACTTACTACAAAGATGAGTTCTATACTAGGTGATTAGGGGCTAAGCTGGACAACACATAATCTTTGAAGATCTTTCAAGAAGAATCAGATATATAAACAGGTGTTTACAACAGCGGGTGGTTTAGTCACTGTGGGGACCCTTTTAAGATGAATACGTCTACCCCTAGGTATTAGATACAAAAAAATTGAACCATGCCTAGAAGTCCCATCATGTATGATCCTAATATAATTTCACTCCTTGACCAAAAACAAATAAGAAAAGAGCTCTTTAACTGATGACACTTTTTTTTATGAAACAGACTTATCCTAATATGTTTGGGTATAATTATATTTTCTGAAAAGAAAATCATTCTTTTTTCTATCAAACATGTATTTGACAAACTGAATTGTTATTCTATGTTAAAGAAAATCCTTGACAAGCTTCAGGCATGTGCACATGAGCCTATTCACGGGATGACCCTCATCCCACTGGATTTTTCATATTTATCCCAGACTTGCTTGAAACCAGACTTCCTTGCATCAGTGATGTGAAATCTGAAAGTGACAACTCAAGCAATAGTTCACAACACACCTTGCAATGAAACCAGGGAACTAAATCCAGAATATTGCCTTTTTAGGAGTTCATTCTCTCTTTTCCTAAATACTTAACTCTTTCAAGTTATAAAAGAATGGTTCTTATACTGACTTAGATTATAGAATGAGAGATGTTTTCTTATAGCCCCTACCCTCAAAAAGAGAGAAACAAATTCTAATAAGCTAGGAATGAAATATGACATTCCTTTCCTCAGCAGGAGATCAGCAGCATATAGTGGTTGCTTAGAAATTCCTGGTCATTTTTATTTTTTGCATTTTTACCATTCAGTGGACCCCATGTATATAAGATTCTTCTATTACTGTGGACTCTGCTGTCCTCTACCCTCTGCCTCCAATAGGAGTTTGTTCCAAACCACTATGATCTGACTGTGTCCTCCCAAAATTCATACATTAAAATCCTAAGTCCCAAAGACAATGGGGTTAGTAGGTGGGGTCTTTGTGAGGTGCTTAAAAGTCATGAAGGTGGAACCTTCATGGTTGAGATGAGTACTTTATAAAAGAGGCTCCAGAGAGATCCCTAGCTTCTTCTGCCATATGAGGATACAATGAAAAGTCTGGGATCCAAAAGAGGACCCACACTGGACCATGCTGGCACCCTGATCTTGGACTTTCAGCCTCCAGAACTGTGAGATAAATTTCTTTTGTTTATAAGCTACTCAGTCTGTGGTATTTTGTTATAGTAGCTCAAATGGACTAGGACACATACTGAATACCATTGCCCTCCCTCTTCTTTCTTCTGTCTTTTGCTAATGTCTCATAAATCCGTGCACTGCAAGCTATTTGCTTTGCCAGCAGATGCAGCCAACTCATAACTGACATAGCCTGACCAACGAACTAGTTCTGAATTAGAATAGTTCTTTATAATTTTTAGTGTCAGTCAGAAGCACCACATGGAAAATATACTAATAATGACGGTACTTCTATTTCTGACACATGAAATGTTAACAGGCTTCACAATCATAACCTCTCTTAGGCAGTAGCTATCTAGGATGGCCACAACATAACAACAGCAAAACTGACTACATAGCCATTGGCACTGATTGTTGAGGGTGCAAAAATAAATGGAGCAGCTAAACCTGACCTCATTCATTTTCTATATAAATCCAGCCTCACTACACATTTTGGGACTATTGTTTATTATCTGCTTTCCCAGATCAGGAGTAACAATAGATACTTCTAGATAAACAAACTTTCAGATGCAAACAATCACAGGAAAACTTCATTGTTGGTATAGGAAACATGTGTGTGTCAGACAACAACACTTAAAATATTAAAATAACTTGAAGTCGGAGTGGGAGAGGTGTTCTCGAATGATAATAGATCTTTTATCAGACAGAATTGCAAAAGAATATGATAATAATGTATCATGTTGTACAACTGGATAAGATGAATACAGTCTTATTAATTGATCTTTGGGTGGTAGCATAGGAAAGACGGAAGACAGTAGGGGAAGGTAAGTAGTTCTGGAGTCATAAGAGTTATATCTACACAGAAAAGGAACTTTGCTTCCAGCAATAGATTTCAGGCTTGTGGGAGTTCCAAGAAGTAGTATGAACTAAAGATATAACTCAAAAAAAGAGCTTTAGAAAAAGTCATGGATGATAGTAAGAACTCTGGTATGGTCTTAATGGAAATGAATATTAATTTAGTCATCAAATGATGATTAAATGCCTCTTATACTTGATTTACGAACCAAAGGAAGAAAAGACAGATATGACACAGTTGCTGT